ACATGAAGGTGCATTCTCTCACACATACACAATCACACACACAAACGTGAAGTACGTTCTGACATAATCATGCTCATACACCCACTCGCACACAGAAACACAAAGGTACATTGTCACAAGCACACGATCACACACACCCACTCACACTCACAAACATGAAGCTACATTCTCACACACACTCGCACTCACACACCCACTCACACACAAATGCGAATGCGTTTTCACATGCACATTTACACACCCACACACAAACACGAACATACATTGTCACGCACTCACAAACATGAAGGTGTAATTCTCACACACACACAGGCCAACGTGAACGTACATTCGCAGACATGCACACTCACACATCCACTCATGCACATGTATGTGAAGGAACGTTCTCACACACACACCCCACTCTCACACACATTCCTCACACCCCTCCTCACATTCACAGTCCTGCACACACGCTCTCACACCCAGCCACAGTGCCCAAGGAGTGACCCTGTGAGAGTCACGGAGACTCCAACATGGGGCCGAAGAAGGGAGAGACCAGGAACAGAGACAAAGAAGTGAGAACACGGGGACAGACTGGCCGGTGCTGTGGATGCTGTCGGAGGAAGACTGCGCTGGAGTCGAGGGGCCCCAGATGCAGTCATGGAGAGGACTAGGGTGGGCAGCCAGCCCAGCCGCGCAGGCCACGCTGGGGCAGAAGTGCTCAGGGCTGCCCAGCTGTCTGCTGTGAGATCCTGGTAACTCCAGTTGACTTGTTCCATTGAGATCTGCGCACCATGTTGGTACCCATGAATCCCCTCCTTCCTGACAAGGATCCTGACTAGGGGTTAGTGCTGTCACTGCACCACAGAGACACAGGCTTGGGGGGCTCAGTAATTGGTCCGAGGTCCTCAGCTCTCATCAAGACCATGCTCAAAGCCGAGCTGATTCCAGAGAGCCAGCTTTCCCTAGGGTACCATACGCCTCTCCTCCAGGTCACAGGATCCAAGCTGCTGAGCCTCTGAGCCAGCAGGAATGGACGAGGGGTGTGGGCCCTGCGCAGGATGCTTGAGTATCACATGCCACATTCCCCCGGTCCCCCTCTCTACTCCCGTTACTGCTGCAGGCACACCCCAGCAGCACCTTGCCAGGTATCTGCACTGAGGATCCATTTCCTTCCCAGGCGCTCACCACTTAGCCTCCTTTGCACAAACCTGGAAGAGCCAGGGAGAGAACACCCTGACTGGCGGCCCTTAACCAACAGGGAAGGATGGCAGGAAGACGAATACCCACCTCTGCCAGCCCTTCAGTGGAAAGCTCTGAGGTGCCTTCTGCAAGGCTCGTAAGACAGTCCCAGCAGGATCAAGGCCCCCTCCCACACCAGTGGCCAACTCCGTAACAAACCCTTATATTTACCGGCTTTCCTGCCTTCTCTGTTTTGAACTTCCCAGGCTCCTGTTCTGTTTCCCTGGAATCACTTCCCCAGTTAAACCACCTGCATGCAGGCTTTGTCTCAGGTTCTGCTTTCAGGCCCCAAACAGGGCTCTCCTGGTGCCCAGCACCAGGGCAACTAATGATCTTCTCTCTCCCACTTCTGTTTTCCCCCAGGACACAGAGTTCTGCTCTGATCTATTGTTTGCTGGATTCAAGAGCCACCGCATTTCCCGGGGGTGGGAGGGGGAACCATTCTTGTTTATCCAATAACAATTAATTCTCAGCCATCATCTCTAGTCTTGAACCACACAAACAAAAAGGTACCTTCAGCAAAGAGGTATCCCATCCAGGCAGATGCTGGGTTGAGGTTGAGGGGTCAGGATGCCCTCCAAGCTTTGACCTAAGTCCATGATTCTGTCTTCCTTTTAGGACAAACTGCAGGGGCAAGTCACCCGTGCAGCCATTTGAGGTCCTGAGTTGTGTGTGTTTAGATTTCCTGTATCATTTGATTATAAAAGCGAAGCATGCCAGTTGTCCAAGTTACATCAATACAAAATGTATAGCATGGAAAATAAAAACACCTCCCCCATAATCCCACCCTCTTCACTCGAGGGTGGTTATTTTTCGTTGCCCTGGGACCAGGACATTCCCAGCATCAGGGAATGAGGCCAGTTGGTCCCTTCAGGGACAGCCAGTGCCGTTACAAAGTACCGTTTCTTCTTAGGGAGACTTCCATTCATTCAATGAGTATTTTTTGAGTATCTACTAGGTGCCAGGTACCGGGCAAGCCACTGTGAGTGAGATGGATGAGGCCCTCGTGGCATTTTTCCTGATCTCCTCTGTGACAGGATGTCGAGCAGCTCTCTTGCCCGGGAATATTCACCCAGATGCTTCTGGCTCCCCAGGAGTCCTTGCAAGGGGCTACTGCTGTCCCACTGTGCTTCCCACATCCACAGGGAAGGGCTGTGCCAGAACCCAGGACGCAGAGCAGGGATGGGACTGTGCTGTGCTCTTCCTGTGGCTGGGCTTTTGTGGGGAGGCTCCAGCCACCCGGGGGGGCCTGCCTTTCAGGCCCATCAGATCCTTCCCTCTTGCCCTGAAAGGCCCTGTCTCTGATCATCTCAGCCAGAAGTCACCCCCAACTATAACCTGTGTACACCTGAGGGTCTGCCTCATGGGTGAACATGGTGCCTTGGCAGAACTGGCAGGCTCCTCTGGTTTCCCCAGTGCCTGCTGAGCAGGGACCCACAGCGGAGAGATAGGGATGGTGGAAGGACAGGGAGTGGGACTGTGAAGCCAGCAGGCAGGGTATGGAGAGGCAGGAGATCAATTTGTTGTTGTTTTTATATGAGGGTGCCTCTGTGTGGAACTCTCTCCGTTCATGGGGTGGCTGGGGAGAGGAGGCTGGGGCATGAGTGGTGGCAGAGGGCCCTCTCAGCTCAGGAGCTGGGCATGGCTCTGCGGGCAGGGTGCTCCACTGAGAACCATAGGGCTGGCATGTGTGCCAAGAAAAGGGAAGGGGCCCAAAGAGGGTGCAACACAGTGTCTCTTGTGCCAAAGCAGGACCAGGCACGATATTTATCAGCCTTTTAAAAAACATTAGCACAGTTCTCCCCCTACCCCCACTGTTTTTTGAGATAGGGTCTCGCTCTGTTGCCCAGGCCGGAGTGCAGTGGTACGATCTTGGCTCACTGCAACCTCTGCCTCCTAGGGTCAGGCGATTCTCTCACCTCAGCCTCCTGAGTAGCTAGGACTTCAGGCACCCGCCACCACGCTTGGCTAATTTTTGTATTTTTTGGTAGAGACAGGGTTTTGCCATGTTGGCCAGGCTGGTCTCAAACTCCTGACCTCAAGATCCACCTGCCTCGGCCTCCCAAAGGCTGGGATTACAGGTGTGAGCCACTGCTCCATGCCGTACATTACATCTCCCTTTGTAAAACATAAAAGTCATGTTCTCTTTAACATCATGTGACATTTCAAAATAAATGTTTAAACCTCCAGCAAAGGCTGGGTGCGATGGCTCACACCTGTAATCCCAGCACTTTGGGAGGCGGAGGTGGGCGGATCACGAGGTCTGGAGATCGAGACCATCCTGGCTAACACGGTGAAACCCCGTTTCTACAAAAATTGAGCTGGGTGTGGTGGCGCTTGACTGTAGTCCCAGCTGCTCGGGAGGCTGAGGCAGGAGAATGGCGTGAACCCAGGAGGCAGAGCTTGCAGTGAGCTGAAATCGCACCACTGCACTCCAGCCTAGGCGACAGAGTGAGACTCCGTCTCAAAAACAAAAAACAAAACAAAACAAAAACCCTCCAGCAAAGGCCAGGCATGGTGGCTCACACCTGTATTCCCAGTACTTTGGGAGGCTAAGGCGGGTAGATCACTTGAGATCAGGAGTTCGAGACCAACCTGGCCAACATGGTGAAACCCTGTCTCTACTAAAAATACAAAATTTAGACAGGCATGGTGGCGGGTGCCTGTAATCCCAGCCACTTGGGAGGCTGAGGCAGGAGAATTGCTTGAACCCAGGAGGTGGAGGTTGCAGTGAGCTGAGATTGCCACTGCACTCCAGCCTGGGCAACAGAGTGAGACTCTGTCTCATAAATAAATAAATAAATGCCTTCCTTTTTAAAAACCAAAAACCAAAAACAAAAAACCACAAATAACTCTCTCCAAAAAAAAAAAAAAATCCCCCCGAAAACCCAAAAACCTCCAGCAAATTAAAACAGTGGGGCAGCCCAGCGCAGTGGCTCATCTGCTCTTTGGGAGGCCAAGGTGGGCAGATCACTTGAGGTCAGGAGTTCAAGACCAACCTAGCCAACATAGTGAAACCCCATCTACTAAAACTACAAAAATTACCCTGGGCTTGGTGGTGTGCGCCTGTAATCCCAGGTACTTGGGAGGCTGAGGCAGGAGAATCGCGTGAACCCGGGTGGCGGAGGTTGCAGTGAGCGGAGATCACGACACTGCACTCTAGCCTAGGTGACAGAGACTCCTTCTGGAAAAAATAAAAAATAGAAATAAAATAAAACAAATGGGGCAAAGTTTTGCTTTATTTAAATTACCATCCTCCTATATCTGATGTTAGGTCCCCTACCTTTGGAATCAAAGCCCTGAGAAGTTTGGGGCTGAAGTTGGCGCCTTTTCAGACAGAGTGTGAGGGAATGGTAGAAACAGCAGTGGCAGGATCGATTCTCTAATGGATCCATTCCCTGAGGGATGCAAGGTGATGCCTGAGGTTCTGGAAGGGGTGCCCGCGGGTAACTCTCAGGTGTATGGGGAGGCAGCTCCATCCAGGGTCTGGATAGACGAGTTTCTCTCCCCTCTGTTCACTCCTTCAGCTCTCCCCAGGGGAGATGACCCCCTATTGCTGCTGGCTGTCCTCAGCACCCACCTCCCCACACGTGCTTTTGTCCCAAAACATTCTCTCTCCTCTTCCTTTATTTAAATTCCCAAAGCCTGTAGTTGATCTTAGCACGGTGTTCTGTCAAATGCAAGGAAAATACTTTATGCTGTGGTGTAAGAGACTTACAGGTTTAACTATTCAAAGGAGCATTTGCATCTTTAAGGGAGAGTTTGTGAACTCAAACACATCTCAAACGGGTAGAATGTGCACGGGATATCTCTTCGAAGCAGGGTCTCAGGAACTCTTCCAGTTCCACGTGTGGTGCCCACCGGGCCACCGCCACCCGCCTCCTCCGAGCAGGACAGGGCTCCGTTGCCGGGCCCCTCTGCGGAAAGCTCAGGCCCGGCGCTCCGAAGTCTGGGCTCCCGGGGTGGGCGGGGATACTTAGGCCCCACGCGCCCCGCAGTGGAGCGGTCCCCAAACCTGAGCCCTGGCCTCTGCCGGTCCGGAAGGAAGCCGTGGCGGA